ACTATTTTTTTTATTGATTTGAAAGAGAGAGAAAAACATGGATTTGTTGTTCCACCCATTCATGCATTCACTGGTTGGTTCTTGAATGTGCCCTGATGGGGAATCCAACCCCCCACCTTGGCATACCAAGAGGACACTCTTACTAAATGAGCCACCCGGCCAGGGCAGGACAAGGGATCTGAAAGTCTCAGCGAAACTAAAACCTGGAAGATGACTGAAGAGACGACGGTAGAGGACTGCTCTAAGCCAGGAGCCTGGAAACCTCCCTGTCTCCATTCTTAGTTTCCTCCAACCCCCGTCACTCCCAGCAGTCACTACCCTACTAATCCTGAGGGTAACCACTCCCTGACTGGACACCTGGCCACGTACTGCCCTAGAGCATTACTGCTTCAGGACTGGCCCCGGCCTTCCACAGCGCCCTGGGTCCCTGCCTCTCTCTTCCCCATCCCAGCACGCTACACTTTCGGTTCTCCCCACCATCCACACGCAAGCTCCAACAGCTCTCACGACAATGCACGCACTTCTTGAGCATTTTAATGTGCAAAGCACCGAGGAGAGCAGATGAATGAGAATCTGTACTGTTGCCCAAACACAGTGCACACCAGAACGCCCCTCCCTTCCCCTCCCGGAGATAGTAAAGCTGAAAGGAACCAATACAATCCCTTTCCATAGGCATGCACTTTGGAGGCTGCAGGGAGGTGAAATGCCTTGGTCAAGTTCACAGTTGAACTAGGACCAGACTCCATGCCGCGGGCTTACAATCCTGGAGTCCCGATTTTCTTGTCAGCCTGGAACGGACGATGAGATATCACGCAGCTCCATCCACTGAGGGCTTTCCCACCCACCACCTCCTTGAAACTTGTACTTCCTCCTAATTCCCAACCGGACGCACCCTCCCCTTATGATCAGGCATGTCACGTTCAATTCTGCATCCTTCCGGGGCCACAACTCATGACCCGGGGTACCTTAAGTCAGGCAGATGGCTGTGTGACCCGGGGCGAGTCGCCTAACCTCCCCCCGCTCGGTTCCCACCAGCCTAACCCCCGCCCACTGCTCCGACCCGGGAGGAGGTGCGCCGCCCGCACCCGCGGCCACACTCACTTGGCCCCGGCGGCCTGGAAGAGGTCGGCCCAGCCCTCCGGGTCGAAGAAGCGCGCCGTGAACAGCGGCCCGAAGTCGGCGTAGCTGAAGCCGGGCGGGTAGTTGTCGCTCATGAAGCGCTGGTACTGCGGCGACCCCTCGCCCTTCCAGTGCCACCAGAACCACTCGCTGCCCCAGGCCGGCACCGAGAACACGCCCCAGTGCACGAACACCCCGAACTTGGCCTGGTCGAACCAGCCCGGCAGGGGCCGGGAGTCCAGACTCGGCCAGTCCGGGGTGTAGCGGCGCTGAGCCCCGAGCGCCCACTCGGCCGCTCCGAGAACCAGCAGCAGCCGCGGCAGCAGCGGCAGCCGGGCTCCCATCGCCCACGACTTCATCTCGGGAGACCACACTCTCCGACTCTTCGCCTCCGCCTCCACCATCCCCTCTCACCGCGCAGCTGCGGCGCGAGGCCCCGCCCACTCTGACTAATGATTGGCTCGGTAGGAAAAAGGGGCGGGTCAGTCCTGGCGGCTTGACTACCAAGTCTCTTCCCCTCTTAGTCCGCCAGCCCTGTTGCGCCCTCTAGCGCTTAAAAGGAGAAAGACGCAAAGAGGCGTTGACAGCGGTCGGCTGGTGGTCTAATGAACACTTCGGAAGACTTCCTGGCGGGGTTCAGTCGTGGGAGTGATTCAACCGTGGGGTTGTAGAAGGCCGGGTGTGTACAGAGAACTGGGTGTAGAGCGTTTGGCCGTGGGGAGTCAGAAGGGACTTTCTGAGCTGTGTAGTACAGAAGAGCAAGCCTGGAGGCGGGAATACCAGATGCAAGGGCATTGTTACAGTCCTGGTAGCAATAACGAAGTAAAATAATGCTGGTAGAAGCATTGTGAGGAGGGAGAACAGTGGGTGCTGAAAGGGGAAGAGCAGGGGTGAGGATTTGGCCTATCTAATACTTGCTTTGGGAATTCCGAAGCCATTCAAAGAGGCCATCAGGTGTGGAAAGTACAATGACCCTAAGTGGCACTGCCAGTCCCTATGTATCAGTGAGAGAACTGCAGCAGGGAATTTGGGATCCTCTAGTCTATACAATCCCCTTTCCTACTCTCTCCATTTGAGGGAGAAGAAAACTGAGACCCAGAGAGAAGATAGAAGTTGATTAAGATGTTGCAGCTAGTTGAGCTCAGAGGTGGGACCAGAACCCAAGTCTCCAGATGTGGAATTTGTGCCTCTCCACATGCTGCTTCTCTCTTGCACCCCGGAAGGGGACAGCGCCTGTGTTGACAGAACCAAGCACTTCCTCATCCTAGGAGTTGTAAGGAAATACAAAGGCAATTGCTGAATAAACAGCTATTCTAATCTGCAAGGTAAGGCTAAAATATTGTCCAAAACAGTGAGCACAGACACCTTAAAAAAACAAAACCAAGCCCATCTTCACACACTTTCTAATGATCAGAGTAATGGTCTTTGATGTTATAGAACTCATCTTGGGGAAGACGAAATGGGACATTGTGACCTTCATTTCTCCTTAACCCTGTGAACATTAATAAGCAGAACCCTCTTTTAAAATGGAGTCAGGAGGCTAGAAGAGAGAACTCTCGCTCACATGCCACTCAATGCATACTATTAACCCCAATGGGACAGACATACCTTGCAACTACAATAGGAAGTGATAACTACCTGAGCACAAGAAAGAAAAGATTCGGCCTTGCCCTGTAACAGCTCAGCCAATGGGAGCTTGCCATAACTCAGCCAATGAAAAATCTCCGTACTTCAAACTTTTAGTTTCCTCCGATTAACTCTTCATTTACAACAGTCCCTCCGAAGTCCATCAAAGAGCAGTCCTCTCCTTTGTTTCTCTGGATTTGAGCATGGCTTACCATTAGACTGCAGGTCCTGAGCTGCAATTCTTTATTGTTCCTGAATAAACCCATTTTGCTGGAGAAATATCGGACTGTCCATTTGTTAAAGGTCAACATCCTCATAACCAAAATGCAAATTTGCAGGAGCAGGTGAGAGACACTGTGATAGACTGGACAATATTAGAAGTTGGGAAGCTGGGTTTCTTGCACGAGACACCACCTAATGGGGTCTCCTTGGGCAAGTCTCGTCCACAGCCTGGGCCCACTTCCTCCTCTAAACAGTGGGGGCAGTTCTCAGTGATATCCAGGTGCCTTATCCCCTTGCTCTCCTCCTTCATAAACTCCAGATCTTTACTTAAAGCTGAAATAGGAGATTGTGAAAGGAGAGAGGTAGAAAGTCTGGAAGTGCATTTAATTCCATGACTTTTAAGCTCTATATTTATTACAGAAATATTTACTGAGTATCAATTTATGCCAGGCACTTGGGCATTGTCTTTGCTAACATGAGAAAAGAAAGGCATGCCCCAACTTTAAGGAATCACACATTTACCTTTAAAAAACTATGCCATTTCAACTGGGTTCAATAATGTCCCCCAGAACTTCATGTCTACCCAGAACTTGTGTTACCTTACTTGGAAATAGAGTCTTTGTAGTTGTAACTTGTTAAAGTTAGATGAAATCATACTGGATTAAGAGTGTGCCTTAATCCAATGATTGGTGTCCTTAAAAGAAGACACCGAGAGACAGAGGGTTTGGGGAGGCTACATGAATACACAGGCGGGGATGGGAGCTATGTTGCCACAAACCAAGGAACACCAGAAGCTGCCAGAAGTCGGACGAGGCAAGAAAGGACCTTCTGCTTGAACCTCTGAAGGGAGCATGGCCCTGCCAACACCTTGATTTTGGACTTCCAGCCTCCAGAACTGTGGAAGAATACATTTCTGTTGTTTTAAGGCACTTAATCTATGGGAAAATGTTACCGGAAACTAACACAGGGCATAAAAAGAAGTACATTGAGAAATAATGAGATTTAAGGTTGTAGCAATCTGTACTTCTAATGAAGCTGAGTTTGACTGAACTAGGTCAAGAGGGCAGGCTTTGGAGTCAAAGAGAACGGGTTTGGGAACCCCAGCTCTGGGTACGTATTAGCAGTGTGGCCTCAGGCGAGTGATTGTGCCTCTTAGGAGTTTCCTCATGTGTAAAATGAGGATACCAAATCCTCATCAGGTTCCTGTGAAGCTAAATGAAATACCTCATTTAAAAGTACTTACCCCCCCGCCCCCCAAATAAAAAAGTACTTAGCCCAGCCCTGGCCTGTGTTTCACAGTGGTTAGAGCACCAGCCTGTGCACCAAAGGGTTGAGGGTTCGATTCCCAGTCAAGGGCACGTACCTCGGTTGCAGGTTTGATGCCTGGCCCCAGTTGGGGCACATGCAGGAGGCAACCTATTGATGTGTCTCTCTCACATTGATGTTTCTCTCTCTCTCCCTCCCTCCCTCCTTTCCACTCTCCCTAAAAAATCAAAGGAAAAAAATATTCTCAGGTAAGGATTAACTAACTAACTAACTAACTAATAAATAAATAAATTTTTTAAAAAGTACTTAGCCCAGTGCCTGGCCCATAGTAAAGACTCACTACAAGTCAGCCGGCATTTATGACCAGAGCACCTAGTACAGTGATGGCGAACCTATGACACGCGTGTCAGAGGTGACACGCGAACTCATTTTTTTGGTTGATTTTTCTTTGTTAAATGGCATTTAAATATATAAAATAAATATCAAAAATATAAGTCTTTGTTTTACTATGGTTGCAAATATCAAAAAATGTCTATATGTGACACGGCGCCAGAGTTAAGTTAGGGTTTTTCAAAATGCTGACACGCCGAGCTCAAAAGGTTCGCCATCACTGACCTAGTAGGTCTACCCTACCTAGAGTTGCCTCAATTAATCCTTATCACATGACCCTAACAATCCTTGATTTCTTTCATTGTACTGCCCATGTTGGTCTTCTTTATTTATTTATTTATTCTCTCCGCACCAGAATGGAGAATGTAAGCCCCATTAGACAGGGGCAGAGTCTCATTTATGGGTGGACATCCAGGCCTTAGCACAGACCCTGGCCTGTATTATGAGATGGGTGAATGAGTGAATGAATAGTGGACACCTTGTCTTATAAATTATTCAATGAAGACATGTTTAATCACCTTCGTCCATTTATTCTGTCTTTGATCCTAAAGACCTGCATTAGAATTCCTTGCAATCCTCCTGCCACCAGCATTTCTCTTGCCTTCTATTTTAAGCCCCTCTGCTAGGAGCTCAGACGGCCTGAGATGTAAAATATGGTGTCCTGGGCTCTTCAAAAGCTTGGGCTGTATTCTCGCTGCAGATAATGGACTGTGGGCTGTCCACCCTGAGCCTAACACGTAGTAAAGAAATGTTCCCTTCCTACTACTGGCTCTGTTTATTATTTGTCATAGGGTATGGAGGAGATAAAAAGGCCTGAACTAAGAATAAGTGAGAACAATTTGAGGATTTATAAAATCTTTGTGACTAACTTCCTTTTTCTTGGAGTTGGGTTAGACTGGGACACTGCCTGCTTCCAGTGGTGCCACCAAGTAGGACAACACAGGGTCAATAAAATTCTCTGATGAGTCTGTGTCTCAAGTGACCCCAGCCTCCGTATTCCCCAGAGACCTAAGAGGTCACCGCGGCTGTGAGTGGGGATCGTCAGGAGTCAAAGAGGACCATTGCCTTCATAACAAGATGCCCTTAACTGGAGGGTTGCCAGCTACCTCTGAAAGAGGTGGGATCCACACCCACAATCCTCATTGAGTCATAGTTCTTGGTCTTTAGTGGGATAGGGTAACCTAAAAAGGTCCTCAATGGGAAAAGGTGACTTAGAACCAAGAAGGCCCCAACAATTAAGTGGAGCCGGAGGGAGGACAGGATCAGGTAGAGCACAGCCAGGTTCTCCAGGACGCTTAGCAGGTCGGGGGGGGGGGGGGGGGCGGTGCACAACACGGCAACAGCTGTCTTTTGCTGACTGCTCAGAATCATGTAATCCTTCATGGGGTTGAAATCCAAGCCATCCTGGGAGCCGTTGGCTGCCTTCATCACCGAGCATCTCTCCATGGAGTGAGTCCTTTGGGTTCTGCTGGGCTTACCAAGAAGTCTTTGCTCTAGTACACTGAGAAGAAATGAGTCTTTTCCAATCAACACAGTAATGACCCCACACAATCTCTGACTCCAGCCAAACCTTTTGGGCTGGCCAAACATCCACCCATACCCTGAGATCCCAGGAGAAGAATCTGTTCTTCTCAAATTTCCTCTGAGCCCCTCATTGCTGAGCCTGAAGGTTCCCTCTGGCTCCGTGGTCTCTGGAGAATGCAGGCACTAAGCCATCTTGTTGAGGAGGTTTTCCTGGCCTGACATGCGCTGAGCCTGTCCAAGACGTCTTGCCTCCTGCCCACGTTACCACTCCCAACAGGGCCCAGCTGTGCAGATAAGCAGGACCAGGCACTCTCCAGGGATGCCAACTCTCATCAGCAAAA